AATTAAAATATATATTAAAAAAGAGACCATGTGAGATGGTAAACTTTAATTTGCATATTCATTTACATAGTCCTTCTACCAAACATGGTTTTAAATCCTAAGTATGAATTTGTTGACTGATGGCCTCAATGAATGCTGCATCTTTTTGTCGTGGATACAAGGAAGCCAAATTGAGTGTCTAAGTATAATGCAGCTCTTACTCCATGTGAATGGTAGAATTACAACTGTCCTTATTTTTAAAAATTTCTACTTACTTTGTTATGGAGGCTCTGGTGGTGCTGTAAAGGCACTCAACTGACAGCATAAGATTGGTGGTTCAAATCCACCAGCTGCTCCAAGAGAAAGATGAGGCATTCTGCTCCTGTAAAGATTTACAGCAAGGAAAACACAACAGGAGCAGTTCTACTGTCCTGCAGGGTCTCGATGAGTCGGCGTTGATGCCCGGACCATGGACTCGAGGCTTCGTTGTTGTTGTTCTTGCTTAATATTGTGACATTTATCTTTGGATGTATAATATCATTTATTTGCTTGTTTTCTGGCTGTAAAAATGTGTTCCTGGGGGCTAAGAGGTGACTGTAAGAGTAGTTAAATTTTACTCTATTCATTCTGCCAAAGTAAGACTATGTTTTTCGTAAGTCTACGCTAAATGTGATCTTACTGCCATAGTAGTTGTTGTTAGGTGCTGTTGAGTCAAGTATGACTCATTGCGACCCTGTGAACAACCAATCTGAGCCCTGTCCTATCCTCACACTTTCTGCCCCACTCAGCCCATTGCCCCATACACCATGCCAACCCACCTGGTTGAAGGTCTTCCTTTCTTTCACTCCCTATCCTCCTTTCCATGCATGATGTCCCTCTCCAAAGAATAACCTCTCCTAGCATCATGCCCAAAGAGTAGGTAACCAATGTAGGGAAGACAACTGACGTATCAGAGTAGAGGAACACTGGTGGCTTAATACATGGCACGGTGGGGTGCCACAGTCATACCTCAAAGTCGGATGTTTGAGTCCACCAGCTACTCCTAGGGAGAAAGCTGAGGAGCATCCTTCCATCAAGACTTAGAGCTTAAGGACCCAATGGAGGATCACCATGAGTGAGAGCCGACTTGGTGGCAGTAGGTGAGGCTGGTTAGAAAAATCGTCTTAATGGTTTAACATAGTGCCGTTTTCTGGGGGTGGAGAGCTCTGTGACATGATTTTATCTGGTGGCCCAGCCTCATTCTGTCTAGTGGCTCCTCTGTCTTGGAGTCCCTCGAGAGGTAAAATGTGGTGGTAAGGAGGGCTTCATGGCCTCTGCTTTAAGGTAATATACCTCTCTTCCACACATTCCATTGGCCAGGTTGCAGTCGTATGGCCCTTTAAGGAGGTGGGCATTCGAAATGCCAGCTGGGCACCCAGAAAGGAAAGCTAATCAAGTTGCTGAGCATCTAGCCAGCCCCTTCCACCAATGGCTTGTGATTATTTTCCAAAAAGATGTAGGATGAAAAGCTACACTCATTCGGCTAATTAACTTACTAACATCTCTAGAATTCTGATTCTGCCTTTTGCTTTGTGCAGAGTTCTGCTTTATCTATGTAAGACCATTATTCTTTACTTTTCATGACTTTCTTCAACTTTATAACGGTATTTTTTTTTTCTCCTCTGTAATATTCCACTGACTAACTAGCCAGACTTCACCATTGGTCTAGTATTGACCATTTTGGGCTTCCATTGTGAAGGCTGTTAGAACTTAGTGGAAGACCTTCCAGGCTTGTAGTATTTTCTAATTTGCATCCTGGCACAATGACAAGGAATATTTTGAGACAGTTGAGAAGGATGTTGTCTAGAGCTGACCGAACCCGTCCTCTGCTCTCAGTGCTGAAAGGCTGCCTGTGGGCGGGAGCAGGCGTTCCTCCTCTGCTGTGATTCCTCTCTGCGTCTGACGAAGCCTCGTGTGGTGGTTTTGTGTTTCCACAATCTTACTTATTCTTCTTCCATTCTTGGTGAATTCATCTTTCTTCCCTACATAGGATCTGGGGCTCAGATTTTGTCTTGGAATGAAGGTGTTCTTTGATTCTGTAGAAGTTTTAATTTGCATAGCATTTTGATGAAGAAGGATGTGATGCCAGAAAAGCCCGTCTGAGAGTCTAAAATATGGTTTCTTAACGTTGGCAAAGAGCTCTGATGAGGCCGTGGTTCCTGCCTGCTGCTAACTGCAAAGTTGATGGTTTGAACTCACCAGCTGCTCTGTGGGAGAAAGAGAAAGTTGTCTGCTGCTGTAAAGATTACAGCCTCGTGCACTCTTGAATCTTTTAGAAGATACATTTGTTGTCGTTGTGTGCTGTTGAGTCGCCTGTGACTCATAGTGAACCAATGTATAATGGCTCTGAATCCTGCCCTATTCTGAGCCAATCTCATCATCTCCAACAGACCTTTTCTAGTCACTTAGTCAATCTGTATCATCTGGGGGTCTTCCTCTCCTGTGCTGTTCCTCTACCCTCCCAAACGTGATGTGCTTCTCCAAGGACTGGTCCCCCCTAGCCTTGTGCCCAAAGTATGTGAGATGGAACTTCAAAATCCTTGTCTCCAGGGAGCAGCCAGCTTTCACTCTCTCCAGGACAGACTTGTTTGTTCTCCTGGCAGCCCACAGTATGTTCAACACACTTCTCCAGTGCTACAATTCGAAGGCATCAATTCTTCTATCATCCTTAGTCATTGTCCAGCTCTCTGATGCATGACAAGTAATTGCATAAACCATGGCCTATATTAGGCACACCTTAGTCTCCAGACTGACATAGTCCATCTTCAGTAATCTGAAGAGGTCCCTGACAGCAGACTTTCCCAACGCAATTTGTATTTTTATTTCCTGACTGCTGGTCTCAAGAGTGTTAATTGTGGAACCAAGCAAACTGAGGCTGTTCAGAATCCCAATCTCTTCACCATCTATCATGATGCTGCCAAATTGCCCTGTGCTGAGAATCTTTGTTTTCTTGATGTTGAGCTTCGATCCATACTGAAGACTACAATCCTTGACTTGCTACAGCAAATGTCTTAAACCCTCCTCAGTTCCAGCAAGCAAGGTTGTGTCATCTGCATAATGCAGTTTGTTGATAAGGCTTCCTCCAATCCTGATGTCACATTTCTCACGGAGCCCAGCCTCCCAGATGATCTGTTCTGCAGAAGATAGAAAAGGTACAGGGATAGAAGCATCCCTGAGGCACACCTTTCCTGACCCTTAACCATGCAGTGTTTCCCTGCTCTGTTCTGTGAATTATTTCTCTGCCCTAAAGATTGTTAAGAACCACCCATGTATTGAGAGAAGAGCAACATCACATAGTGATTATAAGCTTATGCTTTGTCAGATGACCTGAGCACAAGTCGTGGCTCTACTTAATATTGATGGTATCACCATCAGCCAGTCAGCATTTCTCCACCTTAGATCCTTTGATTTTATCCTGGGTATATGGTAGCACCTCTTTTTAGAGTATTGATGTGAAGACATAAAAGCCCTTAGCAGTCTGACATAAAGTAGAAGCTCTAAATATTGGTTTTTACACTATTTAATGCACTGTAAACAAACATTAAAAACTTCACAAAAAATACCCAAAACAAAACCAACCACGACACCAAACAACAGTTATTCCAACTCATAGTGACTTTTCAGACAGTAGATCTGGCCCCTTCCGATTTCCAAGGCTGTTCGGCATTGCAAGAGCAGATGCCCACATCTGTTGCCCACAGAACAGCTGGTGGGTACAAACAGCCATCATTTCGGTTCATGGGTGAGCACTTCAGTCACTGCACCAATAGGACTCCTTTAAGGATGGCTTCTAAAATCCCAAAACTCAAACTCATGCTGTCACAATGAAGCCCACTCGCGGTTGACCCTCCTCCACTGAGTTTCACAGGGGTGGAAATTGCCCACCTTCGTTCCATGGAGTCTCAGTTGGATTCAGACCCCCAGTGACGCACCACCTTTGTGTGAACAGAGAAGCTCCATGTGGACTAGGCCACCACCGCTCTCCACTGAGCAAGGAGAGCAAAATTAAACCACAGTGGTTAGTTATTAACCAATTGCATTATTGGTCCATATTTGGGTCATATTTCTAGAGACAGGAAGAACACAAAGGGAGAAGTCTGTTATTGTTAATATTCCCATCCTTGAATTGTGTGGACTTGCCAGAGGTGCTGATCATATCTTTTAAACAGAATAAGAGCATAAATGAGTTAGGTGATATGACCCAAATATGGTCCTGAACTTTGTGTTTATTACTTTATTAATTTTCTTAGGGAGCACTGGTGCTGGTAGTCTAGTGATAAGGAGTTGTGCTGTCAGCCTGAGAACATGCAGTTCAAATCCACCAGCAGCTTCCTGGAGAAATGTGGGCAGTCTCCTCTGGTGTAGTTTGTAGTCCCTGAAAATCTACTAGAGGGTCAGTTATGAGTCAATTCCAACTTGATAATACAACTAACAACAACAGCAGCAATTTTAGTCTTAGTTATGTGAGACTTGCTAATGCAACCAACAGTTAAGTCAACGGTATCTGTAATTCTTTCATTGTGCTTTTATGCGAGATCTGGTTGGGTGACTAGACCACACACATTCACCTTTTGAAGGAGCGTGGAGGTTCCTTCTGGAGTTTTCAGTGCTGCTATGATCCTGCTGGTACCTGACACCTATAATGCAAAATCCAAGCATTTCTCCCAGGACACAGCTTAGCTGAATTTGCAGGTCAGAACTGATGCCTGTGTGAATGGCTAAATCTTGACAAAAGAATTCCAAATTAGGTACCAATTTATACTCCCACCAAAAGCTGGTACAAGATCATCTCCATCTACCTCTTCAACATTTGACCTTATTTCTTTGCCGTTGATCATTCCTTGCATGCCGGTGGCTATTTCTGAGCCTGGCCTTTATTGGCTGTATGTGTTACCTCATCACGCTCTTCGCTTCTGCTTTTTGTCCATGATTTTTCTATTGCTGCGGTGAAGTGAGCCTCACAAGCTGGAGCAGTTTTCCACAGTGTGATCTTGACCTCTGACCTTCCCCTTTGGTGTGCATATTTTCACATGGTTCTTGACCACAGACTCTTCTTCCATGCAGGTGAGATTGTGATCCTTACAAAGCCCCTTGTGGTGTCCAAAGGCGGCAGGGGTCTCTTGACGACCACCACTCTTCTTGCTGTGGATGGAACAGACAAGCCGGAGGAGTTACTCTACGTCATCACCTCCCCGCCACAGTACGGCCAGGTGGAATACGTTCGCTATCCTGGAGTGCCCATCACAAGCTTCAGCCAGATGGACATCGCAGGACAGACAGTCTGTTACATACACTTGAGCAAAGTCACTGTCTCCAGGGACACATTCCGGTGAGTAACAGGGATACTTTTCAAAATCCTTGCCCTAGATGAAAGCTTTTGTCTCTGTAATCAAGTTGCTGCCACTCATAATGACCTTCCACTGGGTGTCTGAGGTGGTAAATCTGTACAGGAGGAGATTATCCACCTTTTCTTCCAGAGTAGTTGGTGGATTTGAACTGCTGACCTTTCAGTTTATAGTTCAATGTATAAAGATGCACTATGTCACCAGAGGTCATTAGGATTATTACTCAGAATGAATCTGTTTTTCAGTTGTGGTTTTACTATATTCTTCTACTGCCTCATTATGAAAGTTAAATAATGTACACAAAATATCAGCATTTAGACAGAACTCCAGAGCCTGTTTTTACAGAACGGAGGCAATATTGCAGTTTGGTGTTATCAAGTTTTCTCCTGTGTACAACAGGACAAAATGGCACCTGTCCTGCACCAGCCTCATGGCCACTGCTCTGCTTGACCCCGTGTCCAGCTGCTGTGTTAGGCCATCTCAATGGGGATCCCCCTCCTTCCCCACTGATCTGCTCCTTTACCAAGAATGATATCCTTCTTTATAAAGACGTAAGCACGTCTGCAAACAGACAAGAAAACTGAAGGTGTCCAGCTAAGGAGACATAGAAAAATATTTCACCACTCTTTTTAAAGTATCTTTTACAAGCTGATGCAAAGCCATTTACTAGAAGCATTTGGCAAAAGCAGGCCCTGCCTTTTGGCACATGTGTGCTGGTAACTCTATCATAAATCATGTTGTCATAAAGTATATCATATTTCCCCATAGAAAGAAGATTGTAACTGGGGGCTGTGCACCTGCTCAAGGATTCCTTATCAAATAAATTAGTAGAATGAGTCACAATCTGGTGAAAAGGCAGAGGTATAAAATTAATGAAAGTCTACATTCATTTAAAATCTTCAAATCTGTTTTGAGCCACAATAAAGCAAGAGCAACTCCAGAGGCTCTTCTATCTAGCAGTTCTCAGAGGCAGCAGAGCTCAAGGCCCTCAATAGTAACACGGATCTGCAGGCCCTTCCCACTGCTGGCCCTTCCCGCTCCTGGCCCTTTCCCGCTCCCGGCCCTTTCCCGCTGCCGGCCCTTCGCACTGCCAGCCTGAGGTCAGGATTCATGTGCAGGAGATCCCGAGAGCATGGATTCTCAGCCATGGATCCAGGCCTTCTGGCCCCTAGTACAATTCTCACTGTGTCACAAGGCATCCTTCAAAAGGAAGCTGTAAAAGAGCTTAAGTGGCAGACACCAAGCCACAAAAACCAAACCCTCTACCATTAAGCGGATTCTGACTCATCGTCACACAACCTGCTGTGTGACCAAAGTTTCTAAGTTCTTACAGAAGACTGCCCATCTTCCACTGACTTTTATTAATTATCAGCTTAATATCTAATGCATTGCTCTTAAGTTTAGTACCGATCCCCTAGGGTTCCTAAATGGAACATGTGCCTTTATTACTCAAGGAGTCCCCATAAGCCATAAGGTGAACCTAACGCATGTGTTCAAATCCCAGTCCTGATTGTGTATTTTATCTAATTGACTCCAATAAGCCTGCTATGATAAACAGTGTAAAGGTCATTAAAGAAAATGTTGATTGCCCTTAACAGCATTCAGACTGATTAATGAAAAATAATTTCAGTAGTCCCATTGCTAAAATGTCCAGGGAAATTTTAAATAATATCCTCTTTATGCTTTTGATAAATGTCCCCTTAACAAGCAGGCAATCATTCAATAATCATATGACTGACTGATAATAAATGCAGTGATGAGGTATTTCTAGGCATTACCTGGAAATATACCATTATTTTTGTTTGATGCATTTGGGTTGGCTCCCAGTTCATTTTGAAAATTTAAAAAAAAATCTAAGCCATAGTATTTTTCAGTTGCTTCATATGCATTTGAAAGTTGGGCTATGAATAAGGATGACTGAAGAATTAATGCCTTTGAATGGTGGTGGTGAACAGAACTGAATGGTAGGCAAGTTGGTGGCACTTCACAACAACCCTATATATGGTGATCCCATGCACTACAACACGTTGCTTGAGCCTATGCCATCTTATCGACTGGTTGGAGCTTGATTGCCATCTGTAGGGTTTTCACTGGTAAATTTTCAGATTTTAGGACAGGTTCTCTAGGGAAGTAAAACCAAGAAGTGGAAGAGAGATTCAAGTCCCAGACATGTCAGTTACAGACTACTGTCTTTGGGAACTAAGACTTCAGACACTGATGAGTCCAAGGTCACTGAGGGATAGTATTGCTTTATTTTATTTATCATAACAGCATTTGTAGCAATGAATATTGGCTTTTACTTTGAGCAGCTAAAAGATTTAGGTATACTTATTTCAGTAAAAAAGTAAGTTAATGAAAAACAAAACATAAACAAACAAACCAGTAGTACATGCAGATGGAATCATAACGTCACAGTAGTAAAGCCCTTGGCTGCTAACCAAAACACTGGCAATCTTTGAACCTACCCTTGGCTCTATGAGAGAAAGACTTAGCAATCAACTTCGTAAATGTTGTTGTTGTTTAGTGCCGTCGAGTTGCAGGCGACTCATAGCGACCCTATGAACCAAAGTCCTGGACACCTCCTGTATAACTTTCATCCGCTCTCCAGGTTCATAGGGTTTCCAGAGGCAAGCTATTATGGAAGTGAATGTCACTTCTGCTTCCAAGCTTCTTTTAATTGGGAGCTCCACCAAACACTGTCCACCATGGGTAACCATTATCGCATTTGACTCATCAGTGTCACAGTGTTCAGCTTCACAGCAACCATGAGTTACTTCTGTACAGCAAGTGGACACACCAGGGTTACATGACCTAGAAGAATGTTTCACCAAAAACAATTAAAGGCAGGCCTGAGGGCCGCAGAGTAGAGTCACCTACCTTTGGCTTGGGAGCATGGCTTTCCTTGTGCTAGGCCAACTGCTCTCTCTTTCTATGCTGTTGATGGTGGTGGTAAACATAACAGCCTATGAAATTCCAGTGGGCAGTTCCACTCAGTTATGTAGGGTCATTATAAGTTGGTATTGACTGGATGATACTCAACAGAAAAGGCAAAAATAATGAAGGTTGTGTTCAAATGACTCAGAGGAAGAAACAGGTCTAGAGGGAGGAAAACCAGCAAGTAAGGTGGAGTAAATAAATTGATTTGGTTCAGTCCCTTTGTTTAAACATAGAAACACTGATATTTATTGAACACCTGCAGTGGGACAGGCAGTATACCAAATGATGTGTGTGTGTGTGTGTGTGTGTGTGTGTGTGTGTGTGTGTGTATTATTTCTCTTGTTTTAGAGCGAGGTACCTGTTTCCATTTTTTTAATGAGAAAATCAAGGTTCCAAGGGGCAAGTGGCTTTAAATCTCACAGCCCAGCATCAGAGCTGAGTTTGGACAAGACATTTCCTATAGAGAGTGTTTCTTTTTAAATTCTTTTTTCCCCATTATATTTTGTTGAACCGAAATTTTGTGGGGAATTTGCATTTCTGCAAAGGGAGCTCCTGAGAATGCCCTTCTGGTGTTTGGCCGGCAGCTTTACATGTTTATTGTGGGAGAGCTTAGCATCTGCCCAAGACCCGAGTTTTAATCTTGTCGTTTCACTAACCCAATCAGGGACCGCCGTGCTGTTTGTCAAGTGGCGCGCAACCAAAATGGAAAGCCTGTTTTAATGAAAGTGTGATCATGGTGCTTTTTAAAAATTAAATATATGCAACCAATCTAATCACCTAAATTTATGTTGCTTGCTGTTCAATCTGGCAAGGAATTTGGCTGTGTCGAAGAGATAAATTCTGTGGCAGAGGTGGTTTTCCTCCCCCCCCTCCTCCCCCCTTCCCTTTTTGAATGTAAGCTATGGCAGCATTAATTAAACGGGGGAGTTTAATGGTCAGGTTTTACCTTCTGCAAAAATATTTTTTGAATCATAAATTTCCCCCGCATTGTTTGGTGCTGCTGGCCTGGAAGAGAGATTTGGCAGCGCGTTCGGAGACAGATGACACCAAGTGATTAGCAAGCTGACTTCAGCTGCTGAAAAGAACATGCTAATGTCCTCCATTTCGACACGCCGGCTGGACTTTTTCTTTCTTTTGGAGGAGCTGGCGCTATTTATGATTCCATTTTTATCTTTGAAATGCCATGACAGATGGTAGATTCTTTCGCCAACTCTTTCGCCAGGAAAATGCAGAAACCTTGAAAGCACCGTGGCACTGGTGAAATGCGGCCACGCAGCCACCCACCCTGGACAGCACTGTGGTCACCGGGGCTGCAGTGTCTCCTGGACGGGGGCCTCCAGGGAAGGCAGGGGAGCAACGTGGACCCCGGGGTGGAGCTGTTACCTGCATACCAGTGTCTCACCTCTGCACAGATGCCATGCTAGCAATGGTACGGCTGTTTCCAATTTTTAGAAGATACGTGGAGAGGGTGATTTCTTCCTCCAGTGAATTTATTTTTTCGCTGGAAGAAGGCGTGTTTGGAAGGTTACGTGGCCGGGTCCTGCCGACATGAGCAGCCATGGCCTTGCTGGGCTTGTCCTGCCCCACTGTGGTGAGAGGGGCCCTGAGCCGGGCCACGCACCTGTCTCTCCCTGATGGATGGCGTTTCTCCCTTCACCCGTAGTGTGCATCCTTGCTTGTGGAAGTGGGATGATGCATTTGGTCCAGTCATGTTTAGAAATGACATCCTTTTCACCGCTGGCTTATTAGCTTTAGGTCAGTGCAGACAGCTGCCTCGGTGTCCCAGCTGGGAACCCTGGCCTCAGTAAACAGATTTCTTCCTCGTCCATGGTCCCTGGCCTGTGTGTCCTCATTCCCATCTGTCTGATGGCAGGCTGCCTGTTTCCAATGTGGTCAGAGCCCAGCCATCAGGCAGCCAGGCTGGCCAGGCAGGGCGGGGTTGGAGGTGGACAGCCTGGATCATAAGGTGAGTTCAGTGTCCTCAGAGAGGTCACGGGCGTGGAGAGGATCTGCTGTCATCCTGACACCGAGCTTTGAGGACACTGTCAGCCATTTTGGGATTCTGATTTCAGGGGAGACACAAATTAGCTGTCCCTGATGGAGGCCCTCTGTGGCCCTTGAGGCAATAAGTTTGAGTTTCTTCTATTTTGCTGAGGGGTGGGGGAAGGCTGTGTGCGAGACTTTTAATACTGCGCCTTGCTTGTTTAATTTCATAATACCCTCGATTCTCCCTAAAATAAAAATTATGTCTTGAAATGCTCGAAAGATCATTGAAATTGGTTTTGAGAATGGCAATGGTGAGTGAAATAGGATTTATTAATCACTGCAATCAGAAACACCTTACAATATCACAAATCCAAGTGTCAGAGATTTTGTTCACCTGGAATTTGTATAGTTATAGTTTATTCAGTGATACTCAGGCCACCACATCTCTTGACAAGCAAAAGACATGTCTTCTCGTCTCAGCTCTGTTTTTTACCTAACGTGGGGCTTTATCTAGTGAGCTTGGTAATGTATAAGCGGTGTTACTGCTAACCCGGCGGCTGCACATGTCTGCTGGTTCAAATCCACCCCAGGCTCCTGTGGAGGAAGATGGGCAATCTCTTCCCCTGTGATTTACAGACTTGGAACCCAGCTGGGGAGTATGTATGAGTCTGTTCCAAATCAACAGCAAAGAGTTTGAGTGTTATGGTCCTAAGCCAAATTTTTAGATTTTCCTGCTGTATTTTTTTTTAAATAAGCATAATCCTTGTCTAACAAAATTTGCAGAGATCATATAAGGGTGAAATAGTAAAGCTTATGTAAATAACAAAGAATTAGAATTATAAATTCATATTTTAGCATTGGATAATGCTTAGTGACCAGCTGGTTAATTCCACTCATTTTACAGAAAAGAATGGGATGAGTTAGGTAAGACTATATCACTGGGTAGTTTGGCAAACTCTGAAGAAATTCACCATGAGAAATGTGTGAGTACCATGTATAAGGGAAAGTTAACCTGCTCAGTGTTTTATTGGATTGACCTCCAGTTGTCAGTCTTCAAAGTTTAGCTTGATAATTTAGTCCCACAAAGGAGATACTATTGTAAATTACAAATATATGAAATGAGTGTAGTCTTCAAACTCATTCAACAGGCTCAAGGAATTGTGACATTCTTATGTGAGGCAAAACCAGAACGAATGTACTCTATGACTGAATCTAGCATCAGTATTGTTAAAAAAAAAACAAAACAACCTCTTAGGTATAGAGCGGTCAATGTGTATGTTATCTGATGACTGATTTACAAACATAAAAGGCATCCTTGTCAAAAACTGCCCTTGATTTTTCATTTGAACAGCAACTCGACATATCCTTTAGTAAAGGTGTGTATTGTTATCATTTCATTCCAGTCGATGGTGAAACAAGAACCCATGCTGAAGGCTGCCTTGCCTCTCTTTGCCAGATTCATTGTCAGCAACGGCGCACGGACCAGCCATGGTGTGTTTGAAATCACACTGGGGACTGTGGACAAAGCCTTGCCTGTGTTGTCAAGAAAGAAAGAACTGAGACTGGATGAAGGGGCCACGGGTCTGCTCTCATCTGATCTCCTCCAGCTGACTGACACTGACACTCCACCAGAGAAACTCGCCTTCGTCCTGGTCCAGCTCCCACAACGTGGCCAGCTGACCCTGCGGGGGAAAGCACTGCTTCAACCACGTTTCACTCAGCAGGATGTGGACAGCAGGAACGTGGCCTACAGGCACTTGGGAGGGAACGCCACGACTGACCAGTTTACTTTTGTGGCCTCAGATGGAACAAACCAAGGCTTTGTTGTGAATGGGAGAGCATGGGAAGAACCCGTTTCATTCTTCATCCAGGCAAGTATGACAGGCAAGCAGCTCCTTGCCAGGGTTGTGACTTGAAGGAGAACCATCTCCTCCTTTCCTTTCACATGCATACTGTGAGCCTACAGCCTGCCGGGCACTACTATTAAACCTGGCGTGTTCTTAAGTAGAATGATCATGGTCCCTATGGACTTGCCCTTGAGGGTCTGTGGACAAGCAGGTTGTCCTCAATTTATAACAGCTTCCATGCCTACCACTCCGTCTTTCCATCAGTGCTGACATAAATCTACTATCACCTTTTAAAAAAAGTTATTCTTATTACCATTCAGTATCATTGTTATTTTAGAATGGTTTGAATGAAAATTTATGGAGCAATTTGGTTTTCCATTCAACAATCCATACATCTATACAATGTTTTCCATAATTTATTATGATTCCCACACTCAAATGCCTCAGCATAGCCAATGAAAAACAGTATCTTTCTGGTATTCTCTGCTGTCAGCCAAGATCCATCTGATGATGTCCCTTCTGCTACAACCTTCTCTGAATCCAGCTTAAATTTATGGCAGTTACCTATTGAGGTACTGTGTCTGGTGTTTTTTAAAAAATAATCTTCCATAATATTTTACTTGCATGTGAAGTTCATGATGTTGTTTCATAATTTGTGTACTCTGTGGTCTTTGCAATTACTTGCTATGCACCAGAGAGCTGGACAGTGACTAGGGATGACAGAAGGAGAATTAATCTCTTTGAGCTGTGGTGCTGGAGAAGAGAACTGAATATACCATGGACTGCTAAGAGAACAAACAAGTTTGTCCTGGAGAGGGTTAAACCAGGCTGCTCCTTGGAGGCGAGGATTCTGAAGCTTCGTCTGACATACTTTGGACATGTTGTTAAGGAGGGACCAGTCCTTGGAGAAGGACATCATACTTGGGAGGGTGGAGGGACAGCACAAGAGAGGAAGACCCTCGATGAGATTAATTGATTCAGTGACTGGGGTAATGGGGGTAGATGTGTCGGAGTCGGTGAGATTGGCACAGGATAGAATAGGGTTTAGGGCTGTTGTACATAGAATTGCTGAGTCGCAGGCAACTCAATGGCACACAACAACAACAACAACAACTATTGGATCACCTTTTTTGTTTTTTATGGAAACAGATAATGATCTCTTTCAGTCAGTTGTCCAGGTAGCTATCTTCCAAATTTATTGGTGTAGACTAGTGACCACATCCTGGGCTACATTCATATGCTGATGTGGCTCAATTGGTATTCCATCAATTCTTGTGATCTTATTTTTTCCCAATGCCTTCAGTTGAAACTTCAACTTCTTCCTTCATTACCATTGGTTCTTGACCATATGCTACTTTCTGAAGTGGCTCAGTGTTGACCAATTCTTTTTGGCACAATGACTGAGTATCTTCTGTCGATGCTCTTGCATCATTCAGCATTTTGCCCATAAACTTCTTCAGAGTTGCAACTCGAGGCTTGGACTTATGCTTCAGTTCTTCCAGTTTGGGAAATGCTGAGCATGTTCATTCCTTTTAGTTAAAATCCCAGTTCTTGGCACATTTCCTCATACTACTTGGCTTTGTCTTTTCAAGCTGCCACTTGACACCTTCTGTTCAACTCTCTTACTTCAACATGTCTTCCCTTTGTTTTGACTTCTCTGTACTCTTATTTTATTGACTCTTTGGACCATAATGAATTATTAATAACATTGAGAAGAGTGGGAAATCCAGAACACTTAGATTGTGCTGATATGAAATCTCTACATAGAAGAAGAAGCAGTTGTCCAAATGAAACAAGGGAACACTCAATAGTTTAAAATCAAGAAAGGTGTATGTCAAGATGCTATTCTTCCGTTCTTCATACCTATTCAATCTATATGCTGAGCAAAGAGTTCAATACCTGGACTCTATGAAGGAGAATGTGCCGTCAGGAGTTGGAAGAATATTCACCATCAGCCCGCATTATGCTGATGCTACTTACAGAAAGTGAAGTAGACTTTAAGCAGTTACTGCAAAAGAAAGTCATTAATGATTAGATATTCATTATTAATTAATTATTAATTATCAATTAACTTTCATATGCATATGAAGCTATTGAAAATATCATGGCTTGGGCCAGGTGCACCTTAGTATTTAATCTAACATTGGTGCTCTTTTATACTTTAAAGTGGTCCTTGGTAGCAGATTTGCTGAGTGGAAGACATGATTTGATTTTTTTTTTTTTTGCTTCCATGGGTGCCGATTATGGATCCAAGTAAAATGAAATTGTAGACAGTGTCAATCTTTTCTGTCTTTTGTCATGCTGTTTTGGTCCAGTTGTGCGGAGTTTTGGTTTTTTATGTTAAGACATAAGACGTTACGAAGGCTATAGTCTTTGATCATCCTCAGTAAGTACTGCAAATTCTCTTCATTTTCAGTTATAAAATTGTGTCATATATTGCAGATTATGCGGATGATTTTCCTGTCCTGATGACATGCTCTTCCCACAGTCCAGTTTCTCAAATTATTTACTCAGCATACCAATTGAGTAAATATGATAGAAGAGCACCTTGATACCCTCCGTGTCTCGTTTTAAACTGCACAATATCCCCGTATTCAGTTAGAACAATTGCCTGTTGGTCTAGGCACAGTTTCTGCATGAACACACTTAAGTGTTTTGGGATTCCCTACCCTTCACAGTGTTATCTGTAGCTTGTTATAATTTACGAAGTTGCCTTTGTATAGTAACTAAAGCAGAGATAAAGAAATTTCTAGTGTTCTCTGCTTTCAGCCAATATCCCTCTCACATCAGCAATGATAGTCCTGGGACTACAACCTCTTTGGAATCCAGCTTGAGTTTCTAGCATATGCAAGGGCCCTAGTATTGAATATCAGAAGTTGATGTCTAGTAACACATTTTATGATGAAGTCCTTGAACGATGCAGATTACTAAAGTGCTGGGCTGCAGACTGAAAGGCTGGAGGTTTAAATCTATCCGCATGCCTTGGATAAAAGGTCTGATGATCTACTTCCAAAAAACTAGCAGTGAAAACCCTGTGAAGTACAGTTCTGCGTGGACACATAAGAGATTGTCTGAGTCAAAACCAAACTGATAATAATTGGTTTACTAATACTGTGCATTGCTATACAGAGGTAACTCGTGGTTGCTGTAATGCTAAACACTGTGACACTGATGTGTCAAATGCGATAATGGTCACCCATGGTGGACAGTGTTTGGTGGAGCTTCCCGATTGAAACAAGCCTGGAAGCAGGAGTGGCATCCACTTCCGAAATAGCTTGTCTCTGGAAGCCCTATGATCATGGAGAAATGACCAAAGTTATCCAAGTGTTCAGGTCTTTCGTTCATAGGGTCACTATGAGTCATCTATGACTTGACGGCACTTAACAACAACAACATTACAATTCTGTTTGGCCATACCATCTACAGGCATTTAATGGCTTTCAATTAAAGATATGAAACTTCACGACAGCACCAGTATTCCACAGATTTTTGCTACAGATTTTTGCTGTTTACTGCAGTTGACCCAGTTGACAAGAATCTCGCTGAATTCCCCTCTCATCCTAGGAGTAAAGTTTTATTCTTTCCATTTTATAGACAAGGGAAGTGAGGCTCAGAGGTGAGATAAAGGCACAGAGCTTTTCAGTGGCAGAGCAGACATCTTTCTAATCTGACACTATTTATCCTTTCGATGGCTCTGTGCTGCCACATTTGTGTTGACTGTTTTGATGGTTCTTGGAGAACTTACAGTTTTCTATTTTTAGTCCAATGCCTTAAGCTTGTTCTGGCTCACAAATCCTTGAATCCAATTTCCTGGGATGTGATCCACCCTGTAGTACTCATTTGCACTACTGTCTTCTGGTTATGGAAATGAATCCAATTTCCCCCTTACTTGTAGTCTTTTTCTAAGGTGGAATCTGAATAGAAGGATGAGGAGTCAAGATCATGCAATGGGTCCTGGGTAAGTGTTGGCACCAGAAAGAATCAGGAAAGGTGATTAAGTAATAATAATTCACTGGAAAGAGAGAAGGTGCTTAGACATTGACACAGTAAAAAAGAAGTGCTTTGTATATAGTTAAACTGTGTTTCTACTAATTTTTGTTACATAGTTTAATATCCCCTCCTCATTTCCCAGCCTATTAATCTCTCTCTCCGTCTCCTCTTGACTCTTCTTCTGTCCAAGCAGGAGTCATTTTCTAGCTCTGTTGTGCTGCAAATGTGTAGGAGTTATAAATCCTGGGGGCAGGTATAAATGTGTCCTGCACTCCAGAAGAGAAATGAGAAAGGTACAGAATTCGGGAAGGTCTCAGGATTTAAGTCTTTCCCAGCGCAGATCCCCGCTTTAAATAGCATGGTTATCCATGTGCTCTTGGAAGTTACAGAATTTTTTGAAAGGAAAATAGTGGATGAATATTGTGAAGATTTGTCAAGATTCCTTTTATTAAAAAAAATTAAAAGTACAAGACTTTCTTTGTTTAAAAAACCCTAATGTATTAAATCCTCACAAAGTCTCTCCCGTCATTCTCAACTCCTGGGGCCTCTATAAGCAGAGGTCACATGCTAATGTGTTTCATCAGCCGTGCAAGAGAAGACACTCTCAGGCTGTTGCCTTCAAGAACATTTTCTGGCAAGTGAGTAGTTTGGCAACTAACAGTGAGTCATGAGTCCAAACGAGTCTCTCAAGCATAAGTGTCAACAAGACAGGTCCCTGGGTCACCAAGAGAGGCGGACTTAATAAGGCAAACCACAGGTGCACTGTGTGGATATTGATAGCTGTCACCTGACATTCCTTCAGAGGGAGTGTCCAGGAATCCCATGGTGGATCAGTTCGTAGTTTATGCGGCGTGCTGGTGGTGTAGGCTGTGGGGAGCTGCTTACCCAAAGGCCTCTGATCCCAACCCACCATAGCTCTGGGGGGAAAGAGAAGCAGTTTCTCCCCTGGTTATTTCCAGCCCTAGAAACCTGCTGGAGGGCCAGCTGGGGGCTTGTTCTGACTCCATGGCAAGGATTTTTTTTTATTATGTATGTGCCTGATTCCACTGTTCACTATATTGTGAACATTTCCTCATGCCGGTCATTGCTGTTATTATGTACCACAGAGTCAGAAGAAACAAACAGCTGACCTTCTAGCAAGTTTTTAGAAACAGTAAATTATATCGGAGATCGCCCATCTTTTTCTCCTGGAGCAGCTGGTGAACTTGAACTGCATGCGTTTGGGTTGGTTAGTGCAACGTTTTTACCACAGAGCCACCAGAGCACCCTTCATGCCATTAAGTAGACAAGCAAGATTTTTACCATTTTTGGATAGTGTTGAGTCGCAGGCAGAGATGATTTTTAAAGCCTCTGTTAGACTTTCACGGTTTTTGGAGGTTTGGCTGACTACTCCCAGCAGCTCCTCAGAGGGGCAAGGATGGGCAGTCAGTCTCCTCCTGTGCTGTTTCCTGCCTCTGAAGACCCGCTGAAGTGTCAGCTGTGAGTCAGTTCTGGCTCGACAGCACCCAACAACCACCACTCTTATTAATCTGTATACTGAGCAAATTATTCAAGAGAAACTGGACTCTCTGAAGAAGAACAGCATCACGATTGGCAGAAGACTCAACAACCTTTGTAATGCAGATGGAACAACTTTGCTTGCAGAAAAGGAGGACTTGAAACATTTGCTGCAGAAGATCAAATACTGCAGTCTTCAGGGTGGGTCGCATTTCAACATCGTGAAAACAAAAATTCTTACTACAGGATGAATAGGTAAAACGTAATAGGTGGAGAAAAGATTGAAACTCTCAGCATCTTCATCTTATTTGTATCCACAGTTATGACTCATAGCTGACACTTTTGATGCAAGCAGTCAGGAGATTAGGAGATGCATCACACTGGGGAAATCTGCAGTCAGGGACCTCTCCAAATTAGAGAGGAGCAGTGATGTCAGTTTGAGGACTAAGGTGTGCTTGATTCAAATAATTTTTTTTTCTTCAATTGTTGACGCTGCTGAGAGTTGCACAATAAATAAGGATATCTGACAGAAGAAGAATCAATGTCTTTGACCTGTGGTGTTAGAGAAGAGTACTGGTTATCCTATGGAATGCTGAAAGAACAGATATGTCTTTAAGAAGATGCAACCTGAGTGTTCCTTGGTGCAAGGATGGCGAAGCTTTGTCCCACAACCTTTGGGCTAAGAGAGACTAATCCTTGGAGGCTACTGCTTGGAAAAATGGGGGGATGGAGGAGAGGAAGATTCTCAATCAGCTGTATTGACACAGTGACTGTAGCACTGGGTCAGAGATAGCGACAATGGCACAGGATAGGACAGGGTTCAGATCTGTGGTTCATAGGGTCGCTAAGAGTCATACTCAACTTGATGGCACCTAACAACAACAACTCATGAGTAATTTCCAAACCAACATTTTCGTAAATGAATTTACTTCTCAGGTACCTGGTCCTCATTCACAATAAAACAAGTATGCATACGTCTGGAGGGGGGAAAAAAGGCACTTTTCCCCCCCTTCTTATTTTCTCTAGGTTTATACAGCATTTGTTGCCAATTGAATAAAGACATAGTGTAAAAAGTCTATGCATTTTAAAGTCCTTACAGATCTGTTTCTGTGCTTCATTAAACATCAACAAAATGAGGAAATCTTTCTGTGGAACCAGCCTTAATTTTGCAATGTGATTCTTGGGCCTGGTTTCATTCATTCACCCAACAAGTATCTATTGAACTATATATGAGACACTATACAGGTGCAGAGAACAAAGAAAGGGGCAAAGGATGAAGTCAAGTCACACTTGAAAATGAAAGTTGGCCCCAGTTCCCAGCACTAGGGCAGATGCAGAGGGTGCTGCAAACAAGACAGACTTCCCCTTTATCCTGTTCATCTTTGATCTTAGCAGAAATTGACGTAAGAGGAGGCTACAGGATCTTAAATTCAGGAGAGTTTCATTGTCACTGTTGGACCATTAACACTCTTGGCTGCATTGGGGTGAGAAGGCTTTGTATAACCTTGTGTGTAATTATTGACTGCAGGTCGACCCGTTGGACAGAAGAGCTCCCCAGCTTGTACACTCCCATTCTCCCTCTCAAGTGGGACTCCTGAAAAATGGCTGTTATGGGATTTACATCACCTCACGGGTGCTGAAGGCCTCTGATCCTGACACTGCGGATGAAGAGATCATCTTTAAGATTTTACGAGGCCCACAACACGGGCATCTGGAGAACACAACAACAGGTACGGGCTTCTTTAATCCTTGTAATTGCTCCTTTTAAAATACCCAGCGGTGGACGGTGCTGGAGAGCAATTTAATTAAGTGCATGCCCAGTTGGTAAACACTCCCCAGGGCTTACTGATAGCTACCGCTTATGAATCAATATTGGTACTAAAAAGGGTTTGAAGCCCAGCTTTCCTAAATTCATCTTAAGTGGGAGCACCAAATACTGATACACAGCTGTTTATGGCGTGCAAGGCTTTTTAAATGAGCAAATTGTAATATATTCAGAGGAACACTGAACGTTGAACAAACGAGTATTTTTAATATAAGGTGCAGATTTCAGTTACTAATAATGGTTAGTACAGGTTCATCAATTGAAACAAGATATTAAAGATGAAGATAGAAAAAGAAGCAACTGCATATAGGCATAGTGAGTGTCCAAGAACTTGGGCACATCTGTTCAGTGTAACTGCTCTAAAACCCAGTTTATAATAATAATTTAAAAAAGCAGAAACAGTAATTCTATGTCTCACATGTTTAAATCTAACCTTGTGCTGTGTTTAAAACTAATTTTGCTTTCATCATGAATCCTAAATTATCTCAGTTCATTGAAAAGTTTGAATTTTTGCCTAGTGATGTCCTGGATTGTGTGTTATTTTTTACTTTGAATACAATCATTTTCACATAGCACTAAGCAAGACAGTACAGAATTACTTATACATTTTATGGGATAGTTACAGTAAAGTTCATTTCTTAAAATAAAAAATAAAAAAGCACAATGTTCTTTAAAGTTACGTTTAGATGATATGTAATTTTGTCTGTACTTAGAATAATCATATCATTTTATCAATTCTTATTTAATGTTTTTTGTGGTTACTGTTGAGATTCATTAGTTTTTTTTTTTTTTTTTTTTGGTAGGTGAATTTATCCATGAAAAATTTACCCAAAAGGACTTAAACAGTAAGACTGTTCTTTACATCATTGATCCATCTTTGGAAGTAAATTCAGACGTCATGGAGTTTCAAATCATGGACCCCACAGGGAACTCTGGCCCTCCTCAAATGTAAGTTATTTTGCTTATCCAATAGTCCTGCGAATCAGAATGAATCTTATTTGGATAGTCAAAGTGTCTGTTTGAAGCTGTATCTAAGAGGATAAATAGGCTATTTCATAAGCTCCTAGGATTTATTTTAGAAAGGGGATTTTTAAAATTACGGCTTGATCGTGGAACAACCATTAGATTTCTAGAATATGGGAACTTTTAAAAAATGAAGTCTTAGTGCTGGATTGTCCATAGTGTGATGGCAATGTGTACACGTTTCCACACAGAAACTTTTCTGCTCGGGACTTACCCCAATCTTGCAGGCAGATCACACAGCTAGAGTTTGCACTGGGGCTGAGGTGTGAAATCCAGACTTTGAGACTGTGCAGTGCTAGGTAGACTATGAGAGGAAGAGTCAACGAAATATCTCCTTTCCCTTCCCAGAAAAAATACGAAACTGATGACTCTTTTTATATGTGAATAAACCCATCCAGGTGATATGAAGAGAGTGAAGAGAGAAAAAAAAATCCACTTTAAGTGGCACTGAGAATGTGTGTATAAGACCCATGATTAGTGAATCAGATTAATGGACCACAGTAGAGCAGCCCCTCGGACTGTGTTGTAGACTTTAACGTGTTGTGTGGTGTACTGTGAAGTCCGACCTGACTCACAGCTAACCCTGCGGCTGGTTTTCAGAGGCAATTATTCTCAGGAGAGGAGAGTGCCCATCTTTCTCTTGTGGAGAAGCTGGTGGACTAGAACCAGGGATGTTGTCTTGAATGTAAATCTTACATAAAATTTACCAGCTCAAATCCCATCACAGAAAGGTTAATCATAATTCCGTTCTCTTGGGCTGTTTTCTTTTTTCATTTGATGTTCTTTCAAAGAGAAATTAATACGTTGATAGTAGTGTTTTTTCCATCATGATTTACTATGCACAAAAGTTGAGTACAGACTCTTTATTGTATTGTCTGGATGGTGGAAGTAAAGAAAGCTCCAACACAGGCGCCTTAGACGAGTCATCCTTGCTTTTTATTTCAGATTCCTAATTGTGATCCCACTACTTGTCAGCAGAGGTCACTGTAGTCATTTCTAGAAAAAAACTAGTTTCCCCAACCCAAACCACATACTCCAGGTCTCACTTCCATTACTCAGATGAAGTGCAGTATCTCGTCCCCTCTTCAGCTTCAGATGTGCTGATTCTACAGATTCTTATTGATGGTTCCTGGATGCCAGTGGCCTAGTACTAAGAGCAGCCATCTGGGAAGTAAGAGTTTAAAAGGGGAGATCTGGCCGCTGGTATTAAAGAAATGAAGAAAACTAAAAGGACTGAGTGACTCCTGGTCACTGTGCCCTTCCCCACAGGGAATGATTTCTCTGAGGACAACTCTGTAGAAACATGCATGTATTACTTGCAGTTCCAGACAAACATCTTCCAATTTTTAAGAAAATTTTTGTAATTGATTATATCAATTAAAAAATTATTTTGTGTGTGTATGTGTACACCATCAAATTGGATCAGACTGATACAGGAGGAGATTGTCCCTCCTTTTCCAGCAGAGCATCTGGTGGATTCGAACCTCACGCACCTGGTGTTGCAGTGTAGCTTCTTGCCACTAGGCCACCTGAGCCTGATTAACGCTTTTTTAAAAAACAATTACTTTGACTGGCTCACTAGTGCTCAGACTTGTCGTTGACCTCATGCCCACCGGTGGTCCTCCACTGGGAACAGAGCACAGCTGACAGAGAATTTTTCCCCCTAGCATTGAGTTAGATTGGTAATACTTCCCTACACACCTTTTCAGTCTTCCCATTGTTAACAAGCATCAATGGCACCATAGTTAAGCACTAGGCTGATAATCAAAAGGTTGGATGTTCAAACCCAAGCAGGAGTGATTTGGTGATCTGTAAGGATCTTGGTTCCTGTAAAGATTTCACCAAAAAGCCTCATTGCTGTTGAGCCAGTCTGAGGCTGTAAATCATAAAATGAAGCCAGGGGCACTAACAGCAGGAAGACCATCGGAAAAGACAGTAGCATTTACTTCATGTCATTGTAACCTTGTACAGGTTTAAATAGGCTCCTGTTGCCTTCCATAGCAGTTTTACGTACATTATATGTTAGAGATAGTTCTAATTCTAACTTAAAATGATTGGAACCAACGGAACAAAATAAAGCATGGACAGAGAAGGCTTAATTTTTTTTTTACATGTCATTTTTTATTTGATTTTGAACTATTAGAATGAATGGAGGAAAGGAGGAAGGTGGAAATTAGTAAGCATTTGTATTTATAACTTTTAAATGGTCCAGTGAGCTATCTTCTCACTTTCCACCTCATTCCTTTGTAAGGATTGTTGGTAGGAGCCGCAGAGCCAATTCTGTCTCACGGAGACTCTATAGCTCAGGGCAGAGCCCTGCCTGGTCCTGTACCTTCCTCCTCGTCTTTGCTGTGCTTGGACCCACGGTGCAGCCACGGAGAGACTTCCGTTTGTTTCTTTTTGGTCTTAGGAGCCCTGTCCCAGTAAGAAACAATCTTCAGCGAGCTGCCTTCTCTAGACCACCAGGAAGAACCTTATGCAAGTCACCTGTGACACTTTTGCAAAATCGCTGTTTTCTGCTTGATTTCATTGCTTTTCGTTTAAGCATCACTGCTGCCTATGAGTCAGGCACTGCTAAGAACTCAAATTCACAGCTGAGAAACTGAGGCACAGAGATTGCCTTTTCTGAATTCACCCAGCAAATTGTGAAGGAATTAGGATCCGAACGGCGCACATGCAGCTCTCCTCCAAGCCCCTGGCTTTTCTCCCTGGGCTGAGGAACTTCCCAGCCTCTTGACAACTCTGAGGAGCGGAGCCAGAGGGATCAGCCAACTCTTTGCCCTTCTTCCTCCCTGGAGGTTGCTGCAGGTGACAGTGAACGGATACAAACATTAATATATGTCCTGTGTTCACACTGAGGATTATGATATAGATTGTGTAAGCCTCTGTACTTGGAACAAAAAACAAAACAAAACTAAACAAAACAAAACAAAACCCAACCAACCAAACAAACAAACAAATCCAAACAGAAAAACTTGCAGCATTTGAATTTGAGCTTTGATTCTGCCATTTGTTTAGAAGACTATTCACATCTTACAGGAGCTCTGGTGGCCTAGTGGTCGGGAGATTCACTGCCATCCCAAAGGCACGTGGTTAGAATCCACCAGCTGCTCCCTGAGAGGGTGGATGACCTTCTCCTGTGTGATTACATTGCCTCTGAAAACCCACTGGAGGGTCAGCTATGAGTCAGTTCCAGATCAACAGGACGTAACAATACCATTCAAATCTTGGTGATCTTGTTTGTAAAATAGCACAAAATTATGTTTTGTTTAGGGAACCGAAAGGGAGAAAAAGATATGAGAGCATCCTGCGTACTGTCACAAATGGAACTGTTCTGATGATTCCACTGTTGAATCATTTGGGAATAATGATTGAGCTTGCCAGGAAATGTCCCTGAAGCCATGCGCGACTAGCCAGAGCTCACTTCTAACTAGAAATAGATTCTGGGATGAGTCACAAAGTGAATCAATATACTGAGTGATCAATAAGCAAAATGCTCTAGGACTCTGTGTTCTTTGGTATATATAGGATGAATTAAGAGGCTTAGATTCTGCATGCTTGAAGGAACAAAAGCGTTTACTAATAAAGTCCAAGGGCCACTTCTGAAACTAAAGGGGGTTCATAAGAATGAGGACCCAAGTTCAGTGAGTTATAGAATCTTGATTGCTGGTGAGTTTTTGCTGTTGCAACCCATCTCTGGAATAGCGGTCCTGAAAGACTAAGAGTGATGCATTAACAATTGTTAGGAAGTGTTGATTTCAATGGAGTTAAAATCTGTGTACTTGACAGCTAGCTTGTGTGCTCAAATCCAAGCGCATCCTGCAGTGCACCTTGGATATCCAAGGTGATCACAACTCCTTGCAGCTTTCATTGGTGCCCCTCACCTTTGCAGACCGTGGCGTGGAGCTAATTCTGCCCACCACAGTCTTCCATCCTGACATCTCTCTTGCATCCGTTGAACAAAGTGAGCATAAAAAGAATAGCTGACCCGTGCTGACACTCTTCCAAACTCAGTGGCTGCTTCTCAGATTCTCATCCTTCTACTGCTGCCAGCTACTCTGGAGTGAAACCCGTCCGGCTCGTTCCAGGTGACCCCATGCACAGCACCGTGCCCAGGATGCTGGGAGCCAAGGGTTTCGCCTTGGTGGGATTTTACAAGTTGATCTCTAGGCTTGTTCTCCTAGTTCATCCAAGTCTGGAGGCTCTGCTCTTACTTCTTCAGCTTCATCAAAACTCAAAGGGACGACTGTTGAGACAGATTCAACTCCCAGTGACGCCCAACGTTTCTGTTGTTTCTGAGCTCGTAAATCTTAACTGGAGGAGACTGCCTTTTTTTCTCCTGCAGAGCTGCTGGTGGATTTGAACTGCCAGAGATGCTCATCCATTTAGTTTGCAGTGAAGCACCCTCGGCACGAAGCCATCGCAAACCTCCACTGGCAGCTGGGAGGTAGCGACTTATTGGGTAGGAATTGAACCTGGGTCTCCTCCATGGAAGGCAGAAATGCCACCACTGGACCATCGATGCCTTCCCCTCCCTGTGGCTAGCTCTTCCAGGGTTCTTTGTTGATCTTAAAAGAAAAGGAGGAAAAGAAATGTTTTAAAAAGGAATTTCATTTCTAACTGGCAAACTTCACAGTTGTTTTTAACAGCTTTTATGAAACACCTTGTGGAGAATGAGGTTAAAATTGTTGGCCAGACGGATGTCAGATGTTACCTGTAAATCAAGAGTTAAAGTCTTTGTCGCCAGACTGAATTTAGAAAAGCAACAAGAAAGCTAAGGGAAGTTGCACTTATTAAGCACCCACTGTGTACAGGTGCCTCACACATATTAACTCATTTCCATTTCAATCGTTTGCCAGGACCGTAATTTTCCTCATCCTACAGATAATGAAAACTGAGGTCCAGAGAGAATGAGTAACGAACTGACCGCTGTCACCCCCTAATAAATGGCTGCAAGGTGTATCGGCTCCAAATCACTTGTTTTGGATACTGCTCTGTTGCCTCCTGGCTGAAAATTCTCTTTCCTCATTATCATGAGAAAAAGACAAAAGTGAAAACACAGGTGTTCATGGCATACATTATGGCGCTTAATGGCCTCCTCTCTGAATTGGTACATTTCGATGGAAAACTAGGAAAAATATTTTTTTTAAGTCATCTGCTACTTGATTATAGATGGAGTTGAAAGAATAATAATTTAACTACCATTTTAGCTCCTATAAAGCCTGTTAGTGTGAAGCTCAGGATACTTCCACAGCACTCATTAAAGTCCATTTAGCCCCTTTGAAGTATAGACCCATCATTACTGCCCTTTGGGAAATGAGGAAACTAAGGCAGAGAGAGGTTAAGTACCTTTTTGCACAAGTCACTTTATTTTTTGGTACTGATTTATTTACACAGATCATATAGATTGTTTTTCACATCAGATCTTTCCCGTTTCCTTCAGTCCCCCTCCCTCCACCCATCCAAAATTGTGAAACCCTAAGATTAATACCTCGCCCATCCTCAGCCCTTTGCATTCTCCCTCCCCCCCTTACCCCCTGTCCTTGGATCCTCATACTCATTCTACAATAATGGTTTTATACAGTATTTGTCCTATGGGACTGAGTTAGTTCACTGAGCATAATACTCTCCAGTCCCTCCCAAGTTTGTGCTGTGTAGTATTCCATTGTGTGAGTGTATCACAATTTTTCAATTCATTCAGTTGTGGTTGGACATCTGTGCTGTTTCCATTTTCTTGTGATGGTAAATAACACTCTCAGTTCTCATTTTCTCAGGCTATATTCCAAGTTGTGGAATACCTGCATCATATGTAATTTCTGTGTTCAGCTTTTTGAGGAAACACCAAACTGCCTTCCAAGAATGGTTGTACCATTTTACAATCCCACCAACAATGTAGAAGGGTTCCTATCTCACCACATCCTCTCCAACCTTTATTTTTTGCTGTCCTGCGCAAGCCACTTTAAACATGGCTTAATGTCCCAAGCTAGGAACTTGTTTTAACTCCAAATGTTGCTTTCTGTTAGTAATTCCTTCATGTAATTTAGTCAGTTAACCACATAAGAAAATATCAGAAAGTATGCATTTTGGAATCAAGAACAGGGGGGTCAATCTCAGTGCTGGTGGTGATTTTGCGGTAGGGGCTGTCCTGTGCACTGCCAGTGTGGAGCAGAGCCTCTGGACTCTGCCCACTCCATGCCAGTCGCAATCCCCCTTCAATTGTGACAATCAAAACTGTTTCTGAAGAGCGTGGAATGATGAGGCCCTTGGAAATGGCATCTGTGTTCTCCAGGTGGAGTGATCCAGTAACTACAGCAATGGGCTGATGTGCATCAGTGATTGTGAGGTTGGCACAAGACAGAACAGGGTTTAGATCTGTTGTTTGTAGGGTCCCTATGAGTCATTCTCGATGGCACCTAACAGCTGCCTAACACTAGGTACTCTGTGAGGACTACTTGGCATATATCGGTGAATTAAGAAGTCCACCTTTTTGGTGTATACATAGAACATGATTAAATGAAATAGCATGTTTTATATGTTTTGGAATATGAAAAAGAAACGTTCCAGGATAAGGGAGTTGCAGCTGCTGGCTTGGAGGGAGAGGGCTGTAATTTTAAATTGGGTGTTTAAACAGCTTTACTTATGCATGACTTCTTAGAGTTAATGAGTGGCACGGGGCCAGGAGCCTCACGATTCCTAATCAACTTTTCTTCCCATTACCCCACTCTTTCTGTCTTTCTTTCCCAACAGTGGTTGTTGGGTACCATAAGTGCATCTTCTCACTGACTCAGCTTGTCTGCCACAGCGACACTCCAAAAGCCACCTAAACAAGTGCTTCTCACCAGTGCTTGGCTGTCGCCCCCACCCCACCCCAGGGGAGATCTGATTGTCACAACCAGAGAAAGTGACACAGCTGGTGTCTAGAGGGTTGAACCCAGGGATGCTGCTAAGCATCCCACAATGTCCCAGACGGCCCCACAACTAAATCTCAGTGGTGTCAACAGGAGACATCCTAACTAGAGGCTTAAGGAGTTCCCACCTGCTACTAAAGAACAGAAATGCTGCCCATCGGGCTTTCATGTCAGCTGTGCTCTCAAGCTTCAGGTCTGATGGACATTCATTACTGAGTGGTCAGAGGAGAAGGGAAGGACCATGCCATGTGAAGATTTGAATCCGTTCTCTTGGCTCCCTGACACTCATGCACCCAGCAGGCTCCCCCACCCTCCACCTCCCATCGTAGTGTCTATATCTCTGTGGTGGGTTCCTACATCTGGACATCCCCATGGTGCCAAGCTTGCAGCTGGTCGGCTTCCTGCAGAGCTAATTCCCAGGTGGTTGATTGTATCTCCTCTCCTTCCAGGTGTTAATGTAGAGTTTCAGAAGCCACAGTCTGAGAGCACAAAGATCTGATAGAACACAGAGCTGGTGGAAAAACAAAGCAAACAAACAAAAAACAATGCATCTTACATTTCCTGTATGTGCCTTCATATTGAACCATTTCTTTCTGGGGAAAAAAATCTATAGCTTTGTTTCATTGTCCTGGCTTTCCAACAGAGTTACATAATTTACAGTGCATAGTTTTAAGAAAACAAGAGTACCATGGTGTGATAACCTTCACCTCTAAGCATCATACAGACTTCTAGTGGCGCATGGGATGGGGAAGCCCACACGCACCTAAATACCAAGATCCTCTGTGTGTTAAAGCCGAGGCTCCCGGTGAATGGTTACCCTTGAATCTAGGTGAGCGGTCATACTGCGTTTAGCTGTACACCCTAAGGTCACCTGGATCTGCGATGACCTTGATGCATTCTTGCTGGTCGTGGTTAGCTTTCGCAATGGATGGAATTTTTGAAAGGAAGAACTGGATTGGTGCTCATTTGAACCTCACGGAACGTAGCTGAAATCTGCCTAAATGCGTTGCTTTCTTGTCCTCTGCCCTCTGCTTGAGCTCAAACAGGAGGATCTGGGAACTCCGGTTATGAAGCAGAGAGGAGAGCAGGGCCGGAGTTTGGACATCAGATTTATGCTCCAACCCACTAGCTTTAGCTTAACATTTTTGCTAGTTACTTAACTTCTGCGAGCCTCAGTTTTCTTTTTTGAGTGAAGGAAAGGTCCTCTCCACATTATGGAAATTCAAGAAAACCGTTTTCCTTAATTGCTGGACTCACTCTATTGTGGGAACAAAGCTACAGTCGACACATCAGATTTATTCGGTGTACCATTGCATCTAGGAGGCTGTAGTTAACATGCATAGGATGAGGCCCAGACAGTGGCTACAGGACCCGTGTACGTCTTAATCCCAAGGCACATCTGCAAGCATGACTTGTTATTATAATAAACTGAACTCAAGTTCAGAGAAAATTGGTAGCTAGAACACTAATAAGGAAGTGGAAAGATAATATATAGGATTTCATAACAATGCCATTCTTGAACATGAATGCTTCTTTGTGCTTAACAAAATCTGGTTCTTTCCCCTTCAGTTCGAGTCTTTGTGTATGTGTGCGTCATTAATAATGATGGGCTCTTGAGCAAGTCTTTTTTTAAATTTCATTATTTTTTGTGTGTACTGTCAAATCAGATCTGACTGATACAGGAGGAGATTGTCCCTCCTTCTCCAGCAGAGCATCTAGTGGATTTGAACTGTGTACCTCTGAGATTGCAGTGCAGCTTCTTGCCACTAGAACACTAGAGCTCGTCTTGAGCAAGTCTTTTAATCTTAGTTTTCCCATTTGTGAAATGGAATTCTGATATCTGCTCAGCCTGCCTCATAGGGCTGCCTTAAGGATTGAATAAGATGTTAGGAAAAGTTCTTTGTGAACTGCAATGTGTCAAACAGCTCTAAAGAAATGTTTATTCTTGCTGGGGCGGAGGGGGGTCGATGAACTGCCTCTGACACCATGATAGAAATCAGGGGTTCAGTCTCGTAGACAACAGAAACCCCCCGAGGCATGTGCCATGCATTCCTCAGCCTTTCCCCTTTTTTTTTCCTTTCCTGAGCAGTTTGGAACTGAAGTGGGCTCATATTGGATGGTCGCAGACCGAGCACCAGGTCTGTGAAGATGCAGGCTTGCTGTCCTTAGAAATCACCAGAAAGGGACACTCCATGGACTCAGCCTTCGTGAGCGTCAAGGTAAGAGCCCTGAAGTCTAAGTCTGCCAAATTCAAAATGATGCAACCCTAAGGGTGCCGCTGACTGCTTTCTTAGAAGCATTCAGGGAATTTCAAACTCCAGGATGTCACAGGATGTGGAAGAGTCTAGGTTCAAACCTTGGACTTCTAGCCCTCATCCATGTTTATTACTTCTTAGATAGGACTTGTCAACCAATTTTTCCTTTTTTACATATTGTTCTTTGTTTCTGTACGGTCTGTTAAGTTTTGAAATTTTATTTCACAGTATGATCCAGTCAACCTAGTAAAGATGAACCACATTCTGCTTTGGAAAAGGAAATTCTGTGTAAGAGGTTCATCCAGGTGTGTCTGCTTTGTGGATATTGTAAGCAAAATTCCTTTCCCAGAGAAGTTCCTCACTGTGAGAGTCGATCACTCTCCCTGGTCTCAGTGAATTAAGTCAAACAGATGAAGAATTAAATGCTTTGTTAATGTAATATAGTTGCCCAAATCACATAAAGTTATTGCTGTTGTTGTTGTTAGGTGCCGTTGAGTGGAGTATGAGTGACAGCAATCCTAGGTTCATGGATCCGGACTCTGTCCTATCTTGTCGCATCCTTATCATCCCACCCCTGACACACCCGAGCCCATTGCCCAGGCTCTGTGTCAGTCCATTTGATTGAGGGTTTTCTTCTCCTTTGCTGACCCTATAACTTTCCAAAAATAATGTCACTTTCCAAGGATTAAGCTCTCCTAAGAACATTCCTTAAATCAGGAGAATATAATCGCTATTGTCTAATTTCCATTAGATCTGATGCATAGTTAGCCCTCCAGAAGGTTTTCAGAGGCTGTAATCTCATGGGAGGAGATTGTCCATCTTTCTTTCAAGGAGCCCCTGGGGATTCAAACCACTAAAGAGGTGTGGCCTTTGGGTTAGCAGTGCAATTCCCTATAGACCAAGGCATCTGAGCTCCCAGATAATCAAGAAGTTGTTGTTGTTATGTGCTTGCTGTTGAGTTGCCTGTGACCAATAAGGACCTTATGTACCACAACTCTGAAGCCTGCCCTGTCCTGAGCCAGTTTCACTAACTCCAGCCCACCTATCCTCATTGCCCCAGTTACTATATCAATCCATCTCATTCAAGGTCTCTCCTGTGCTGTCCCGCCACGCTACCAAGCTTGATGTCTGTCTCCAAGGACTGGTCCCTCCTAGCCACATCCAAAAAAAAAAAGTGTTTTTCTTAAGGAGTTAACTGTAACACTGTTTTCTGTGGGGTCACTCTAAGTGAAAACTGACTTGGTGATGTTGATGAATTTATAACAATAGTGGAATCCATGGGTGAAAAGAGTAGTGGTTCATATACTCAGAAGCTAACCGAGAACTTGAAGGATCACCCAGATATCTTCGGTAAAAAGAACTGAACACCTATTTCCAAAATCCAGCTGTTAACAACCACAGACAGCACAGCTCTGTCTGTCACACACGGGGCCACATGAATCAGAGCCCAGCTGTTGGCAGCCAGTAAATCACGGTATCACTTGGAGAATTGAGAGTATGCAGTGTGGACTTTCAGCAAGGGACTTTGAGCCTTAAAGATTCCCCGTTCAGCCCAGGAAAAGACATGTAGGTTATCCTGGTGCATCTCTGTGTAGACTGAATTCTAATAATAAATTAAAATCATTCTTAGAACCTTTGCATCTATATCCTCTGATACCCATTTTCAGTATTTATTTTTCTAGCCAATATAGTCTCCCTCTCCAGATCTCTTGATGCTCTGTTATTATTAAGAACAGCACAGAATCTGGTGTGCCCTGTAATTGTCCAACAGATTGTTTATGGGAAAAGAAATAATCCGCCTGGGTGGGTTTCTAATAGTCCTCTGGTCCTCCATAGAAGGCACCATATGCTCCAATCTGGAGGTCTGGGCCACTCGATCAGTCACCTTGCCAGGTGGAAGGGGCACCCACGTGCGTTCCGTGGAACCTTTTGTTTACCTAAGCAGGATGCTCCCAGGGAGGCTGCCAGCTGAGAGTGTGCATGGCTTTGTCAGGCAGAGCCTCTGAATCTTCCAGGGACAACTCTGTCCAGTGCAAGCCAACCTCTTGACTCAACGGCTTCTTGGCTACTCGACTTGGGCTGTGGACCAGAGAACAAACTTACATCTTGTTGTCTGTCCTCGTTTGAGCCATGCACCTCGACCTGGGAGGTTTCTCCAGTCCTCTAGTCATTCCTTTTCCAACATAAGGTTCTGTAAACTCAGTGGTGCTAAATACCAGGCAATTGCACATGTAAGAAGCAGGCGGGGAGATGTAAGCTCCAGCATATGGCAGGTACAGGTGTACGTGGGCCACCTTCTCGCCATGGGAGGCTGTACAGGAGGAGCCTTGGCATTGTAGACTAGAGCACATGGACGTTTAGGAGGTAACTCTTCTCCAACAAACTGCTTCTGCTGAAGCCTCATTAAGAGTGTTTAGGATCTTTGGCCTGAAATGAGAGATGTCTAAGGTCATAGAAATAGGGATTTTGATGGCTTTCATTTCCTTTTTAACTATGTGCAAAGATATATTTAACCCACTTCCTATCTTAAACTGGCTATGGTGCTTACAACAGATTCTGATGGAGTAATAGTCAAAGTGTTTGACTGTGAATCATAGGGTGGTTCAAACCCATCATTAGCCCCTTAAGAGAAAGACCTGGTTATCTGCCCCATAAAGATTGTTGCTATTACAATGTACATAGTCGTTTTAAAAGCAACATGAATGTAGGAATGGGTGAGACACAGTGTGCGTGAATGATACACAATGCATACAAATGTTGTACGTATACCAGGATACAATCTTTAAAAAGTGGAGAAAAAAATTTTAAAACCATAAAAAGTAAAATAAAACAAACTGTTGTATATATTTAAGTCAAAACTGACCCTCCAAGCAGGTTTTCAGAGGCAGTAAATCTCACAGGAGGAGATTGCCCATCTTTCTCCCACAGAGCAACTGGTGGATTAGAACTATGTACCTTTGGATTGGCAGCTCAAGAGCTTCCATAATATTACAGACTAGCAAACCCCGTGGGGCAGTTCTATGCTGTTACATAGGGTCCTGATGAGTTGAAATCACCCAGCTAGTACTTATCATTTTACTTACAAGGATGCTCACTTGATAACCGCTTCTTAAATTATTCAAGGACATTATACTTGCCATGTTTTTTATGTGCTCTCTGGGGGAAATGAAAATGTTGGGTTTTCTCTTCCACCTCTTTGGTTTTTCCTTCTGGAGCCAGAAGGCAAGGCCTCCATCATAGCTTCTTTAAATCCATTGAAAATCCACTGCGGTCAAGCTGATCCCTCCTAACAGCAACACTATCGAACAGAATCGCCTCTTTGGATTTCCAAGGATGTCATCCCTGCAGATGTCTTACCAGAGTGGGTTCGAACTGCCGACCATTCAGTTAGCAGCTGAATGCCTACCCCCTGTGCCAAACAGCTCGTTTTGAAGAGGGCAATTTCTTCACCATCCTCTTGATGGGAGCCTCTCTAGCCCGTGGTTCTGGATGTGGATTGCCTTCATTTGCCTGTTCACCACGTCCGTCAATCTCACAAAACCCCCATTCATGTCCAGGAAATGGACCAGACTTGGTTTGGTTAATCCGAAGATGCTAAGCACCCTGGAGGTTACAGGTCTTCCAAGTGTCCTGGTGGTCAGCTTACAAGTGGTCAAAGTGTCAGCCTTCTCCTCTTCCTTTCTCCCACCCCCTTTCCTCCAAGGCACGGTTTTAAAGTCAGTTTGGGATGGAAGGAAAGTAATGAAATAAAAGTTTACTTTAAACATATTGAGCAATACTGTTAAAAATTCTCGTAAGAGTCCCAATAACGGAATAATTTATAACTAAAGGGGAAATATATACAAATACATATACACACGCACATATATATGTATACCCTGTAACAGTCAAGCAGAAAGATAATTTCTAGGAAGTTCTATATAGTCCAGTTTGAAAATGGTTTATTACAATAATGAAACCACTTTATATTAAAAACTGATTTAAGAGCATTAGTTTAGTCTAGACCAGCAATTGAGAGACTAGATGTTTCTGTTATAGAATATTCACTTTTATTAAAAAAGACATTTTCCTCCTTCCTCAGGTCAACCCAGTGTCAGCTACAGTTGGAAAGGATTTCACTGTGACTCCGTCTAAGCTGATTCAGTTTGATCCAGGTATGTTTTATGTCTACAGTTTGTTTTCTATTTTTCTGAAACTCTGGGGATTGCAGAGATGATAGGAATGTGAGACCACTTCAGGCGACTAGAAACTCCTTAGGGAGCCAGCTGTATCTCACCACTGAGAGGTACGGGAAAGAGAAACCTAGATACAGACAGGAGTTTGGATTAGAGGTTTTGTCCTTGTATTTTTTTGTTCTTCCTCTTCCTCCCAGTTCCCTCTGTTATTAACACAGTACATTCCTGCAGTCTGTTTGCTGCTGGGCCCAATCTTTGTTGTATTTGTCTCATGGGCATGGTATCACGTTTCTACCATCACAGCATCTTGTAGACTAGAATCGTTTCAAGCTCCAAGCTCCATCGAGTCAGCTCTCCCTCTGGACTCTGCTCTTTTTCCTTTGCCTTTTCTAGAATGTCGTATTGTAAGGATCATACAGCACGTAGCTTTTCCAGGTTGACTTCTTTCACTTAACACTATGCATTCAAGATCCCTCATCACCTTTTTGGTAACTTAATAGCTCATTTCTTTTATCATGGATGACTTCATTTATAGTTGTACCAGTCTGTTTATACACATCCACCTGTCAAAGGATATCTTGTTTACTTCCAGTTTTGGACAATTATGAATACAGCTGCTATAAAAATGTGTATGCAGGATTTTGCAAGCATATGTTTTCAGCTCATTTGGGCACATACATTGGAGTAAGGCTACTGGATCATATGGTGAATGAATGTTTAACATTGTTTTTTAAAAATACCAGGCTATCCTCTAAAGTAACTTTCATTTTGCATTCCCACCATCAATGAATGAGAGTTCCTGTGGCTCCACATCTCCACCAGCATTTGGTGTTGTCGTCATTTGGATTTTAGCCATTCTAGTAAGAGTGTAGTGGTGTCTCGTTGGTTTAATCTGCAATTCCCTGCTGGCATAATGTTAAGCATTTTTCCTTATGCTTACTTGCCATCTGTTTCTCTTTTGTGATGTGTCTGTTCAGCTCTTTTGCCCATTTTTGTAACTGGTTGGTTGGTTTCTTGTCGTTGAGTTTTAAAGGTCTGGTATATTTTGGATACAAGTCTCCTAGCAGATATTTGTTTTGCAAATAGTCTCTCCCAGTCTGTGCCTCATCATTTTTATTTCAAGTAAATATTCATTTTGAAATGAGAAAAGAAATCGTAACAACTGTCACATTTAAAATATCAAAGCCATAACCCCCCAAAAGAAAATCCAGAGAAAAAGAATTGCCTCTTGGAAATTTAAAGCATGTTCCATGTATATGAATTCCCAAGGTGTATTTCTTAAGAAGTCTCTCTTGGAATAGGCTGATAGGGGGATATTCCAATGGAAACCATTACTTGCTTTAATAGCATTTGCTTTAAATGTTAGAGAAATTTTGCTAGGTGAGGGAAATACAAAGATGTGCTGTTTGCTTTCAAGGATTCTCTCCCCCTGTTCTGGGAAATACTGATGTAAAAACAACTTGCTAATGGCCCAGAAGGGAGGTCTGGTGGCCTCGCCTGCAGGGATTGGCACTGCTGACCTGAAGAACATGCCTCTCCTGTGGCTCTCATCCATCACTGGCTTCCTGAGGGAAAGATGAGCAGTCTCCTTCCATGTGATTTACAGCCTCGTAAACCAAATGGAGCGTCAGCTATGAGCCTGTTGCGATTTGATGGCAAGGAGTTGGAGGTTTATTTTGAGAATGGCACTTTGAGATCAAAGGATGAGCTGTTATTCTAGCTAAGGGAAGCCTGGAAGGCTTCCAAGGGGAAGTGGCATTTTAAACTGGTTAGGGCCAAAGACAGAAATGCCAGGCCGAAGGTGGAACATCAAAGCACTCATGCAGCCTTGAAGTACTGTAGTTAAAGCCTGGTGCTAGGGTTATACCTTCTCTGGCTTCTGCAAATAGGACAGGTAGCTCTACCTAACAGCATTGAATGGCTTTGTCTGGAATGGATCACCTGTCAGAGGCAAATGGACAAGAGCTTAAGGAGCAGCAGGGGCTCCTGGCTTTGTGCTTTCCCGAAGAGGAGGCACGATTTACTGGGAGAGCATTTCAGCCACGTTTAAACACTTGCTGGTTTAACACGCAGCCGGCAAAGGCAAAATAACGTGGCCTAAAACCAACACCATCCCCACACTGACAGCCATAGTTCCAACATAGACTAAGAACTGCCTTCCTATGATTCCCAAGTAGCTTGATGGGTGATGACCCTGAAGTTTCACAAGCATCAACTGTCTTATTGTGATTGACCCTCTGGATTGGCATTTGGCATTCTGATTTGCATAGGTCAATTCCTCAGGCTGACCGCCCCCCATCCCCCGCAGGAAGAACTAGTCCCTTTATGCATTTGATGTTTCCCCTGGGGTTGCTAGGGGCCCCATAGATCCTTTCTGCCCAGCCCTGAGATGAGTCTGATGTGTATACTTTTCCGCACATCACGTTAAGACAGCTCCAATGTCCCCACTTTCTGAGAGTTAAGGATCTTTGCTCTGTGTCATCTGTATTATGTGAGGTCTTCTTGTCACAAGATCTGGGGTGATCTTAGCTTCCGGCAGGTTTTGAGCAGTCCACCGGGTGCTCTGTTTGGATTGATAGGAACTAGAATGGCTTACGCAAGAGGGGACTCTGAACCTACCTCCTTGAGATTTCACTTTGAGAATACCATGGACTGCTAGGAAAACAAACAGATTTGTCCTTCAAAGGGTTAAACCGGTGGCTCCTTGGAGGCAAGGATTCTGAGGCTCCATCTGACATATTTTGGACATGTTGTGAGGAAAGACCGGTCCTTAGAGAGGGACATCATGCTTGGGAGGGTGGAGGGACAGCGCAGGAGAGGAAGGCCCTCTATGAG